TTGCCCGGGTCCTACCTCAGAAACAAACTGCTTTGGAAACCAAATGACAAGGATTAAAAGATTAAATCAGCATGAAGCTTGAGTTGAACACAGTTGTACATTTTCTTAACTCAATCGTGGACAACTATATGCAGGATGGAATCATTTGCTGGTATCTTAGGGAGACAGAAATAATTACAGGACTAAACTATTGAGTCTAGTCGATTAAAATCTCAATCAGTGTGCTTTGGACTGTTTAGAGAATTATCTGCTGATGAGGGCTTCAGTTAATAAAACTGGAAAAAACATATTGCTAAACTACCAATAATGAAATTTGGCAAAACTAGAATCTACTTGCACTTGGCTACCAGGTTCCAGGATTTGGGGTGGGGAACTTTGTAGTCATTTTAAAATATTTTTGCTACAAATCAAGCTATAAAAAGTTAAAAGAGATCAATCAGATCTTTGCTTTAGAAAATGTGGCAAAACTCAAAGCTGGACTTCAGAAATTCTCATTAGTAACACAACGCAGCAAATTATTCTTCCATCTTGTCTTCTTTTCCTCAAATTTCACATTTTTGAGGTAAACATTTTGAAATCCTATAGTATTTTCTGAATTGTTTATTCTGAACAGCATACTGTAACTTTTATATTTTCACTTAGTTTATAAAGAATATTTGGAAGAGCAAGAGAAAGCAGAAACAACTGGAACTTGCTGCAGTTAATGCTTTAAATAAAGTGACTTATGAATGGTAATTTCAAATGGCTTCCAAGCTGAAAAAAATATTTTAGATTTTTTCTACAATTGGCTCAATGTTGCACACCTTGAACTTTTGACTCCTTTTTCAAAATAATTTCTGTGGTTTTCTTTGTTGTTGTTTTGTTTTGTTTTGTTTTAACATTAGAGCAATTCGACATTTTTCCTAAAATCAGCCACTTTTCTCCACTGGTGAGCATTGCAGTTCTGTTTATTTATTCTGCCATTAGGTGCTAAATGCATAGGGAAATGAGACCCTTGCAATCCCACCCAGACCACATTTCTAACCACTCTGAATTTAATTTTCAGTTATAGTTTTCAGAATTGTGCTAGTTTGTATCACATGGTAACCCTGAATAACTTTCCATCAATTCTAATTTGGCAGTCCACCAGTTATCCTAAATTCCTCTAGGGAATACTAATAACCTTCTGATTCCCAGGTAATGTAAGGTCACCAACGTTGCATTTGTATTACTCTTTTCCTTTTCAAAAGAGAGTATGTGAATAGTTTGTAAAATTTGTTCTGTGTTGAAGCAAAAGTATCTTTGATGACAAATAGTTGGGAAACCTGGGCCTCGGGTGAACTTTCTGCTCCTTTCTGGGCGGATACGGTGAGTCCCCGGCCAGAGGCCCTGCGGAGGTCAGCTAAGGTGCTGTCATTCTGTATCCTGGACTTGGCATCTCGTTTCTGAAAGCAATCGTCCAGCTCCACTCTCGCACACCTGTAGCCTCTCCCGTTCACCTCCGTCCCCCGACTGTCGGGGAGCGGAGACCTAGCTGCAGTTCAGCTGGGACCCAGGGCTCTCTGCGTCCCCGAGGGGCCCGAGACAGCGGCTCAGCCTCCAGGGCCAGTCTGCAGGTCCGACCCTCACCCAGCGGGCCTGTTTCCCACTCGCCCATGTCCCCGCTCCCATTGAGTCACCCCCATATGCAGGCCCACTGTGAGCTCGGAGGCAAGAGAGCCTCGCTCCCTAATTCCCGCTCTCTGCCCCCTACAGAAAATCCCTAAAGGTCTCGACCCTTCTTACGCCCCTCCACCCCGGGGAGCCTTCCCCTGCAGACTCCACGCTTCTGCGCGGCCGTTTGACCCCATTTCGCATGAAATCAGCCGAGCGACAGCCCCGAGGACCAGCGAGCGCTAATCAGATCCGTCTGTCTCTGCAGAGCTTCACCTGAGCCCCGGATCCTGGAGGGCGGATGAGCGGGCCAGCTCTCGGGCCCAGGCTGGGGGACCCGCAGTCCACGGTCTGCGGGGATGGGGAGGGGTGGCCGCCCGCCGCGCGGCTCCCGCGGGCCGTCGCCAGGTGCACGGTCCCCCGCAGGGAGGACGCCCCCTGGTGCCCCCGCCGCCGCCGAGCCCGTGGGCGCCTGAGCGGGCAGGAGGCGGGGCCGGCGGGGCCGGATCTTGACGCCGGTCCAAGGCCGGGTGACTATTGGGGTCTGCCAGCCCCGCGGACGCGCCGAGCCCTCTCACTGTGGCGCTGCCTGGCAGCTAGGGGGCTGGTGGAACGAAGCATGGTCAAGACAGAAAACAAAGTCAGCAGGTCACCTGGCAGGTTCTGGGCGAATTATGCAACGAAAGCAGGGGAATGTTTGATGCGTCCCTCCTCACTCCACCCCCCACCTTTTTTTTTTTTTTTTTTTTTTGGTTTTAAGCTCCTAGGAAGCCGGTTCCAGTTTAAGGGTTGAATAGGGATCGACCAAGCTGCTCCTCTGATGTGGTTACGACTTTGCCGAACTCCGCAAGGGTGAGCTTCCCTCCCCATCTTTCTTTTAAGTAATGGGAACATTACTCTGGAGGAAAAAAAAAAAAAAAACAAAAAAAACATGAATGGGCGAAATGGTAGGCTTGATCCAAAAGCAATGCCGAGAATCCTCTACGACTTCCATAAAAGATTACTCAACTCAATATTAGGCAAAAATATTAAATGCGAAACCTGAATTAAATTAAATGCCGAAACCTGAATTAAATAATCTCCACACACATCCTTTTTTTTTTTTTTTTTTTTTTTTTAATCTCCCCCAGCCTCAGGACTAAGCTTTCAAACAGAATTTAAAGAGTTAACGCTGGCCATAGTTCTTTGTTTTCCATGCTAACATTTGTGGTATTAGGACTATTTTGTTAACTAGGTATATGCAATTCACAGAATTTCACGGTAAATTCCCCAGACCAAATATTTGGCTGAACAAATAAACAACATTATCCATTCCTGAAAATAAGCCAGTAGGAAGGGAGGAGGATGGGGGAAGGGGTTGGTTTCTAGAAACTGGACAGCCACAGGGCTCAGTACTGGCCCTAGGATAATTTGTTCAAGTGCTGGAGATCTACTGGTTCCCTTTCAATGACATCGACATTTCAGAAAGTTGCTAGAAATTGGGCAAAACAAAATGAGGTTGCCTGAGGGGAATCCATAATGGGCTTCCCTAAATGATTTATTTGAGCTCCATACCATTAATCAAAGGGGCAGCGACCTGGGGGGCTGGAGGGGTGGGGGGAAGGATCCCTTTTTGCGGGGAGTTTTGGAGGGACTGTGGAGTCTTGCTGCCTTTGCCTGGGGCTCTGATCTCTTCTCTCCACCTGCGCTCTCCGGGGAGCTGGGGTTTTGGCAACCACCCTGCTTCGATTTTTATTGGTTTCCACTAAGCTGCTCCTTTTGGAGGAGTGTAGGACTTCAGTAATTAAAAACAAAAATGAATCCTGCTTCACCCACCCCACTTCCAAGAGCATATGTAAGAAAGAGTGTGTGTATAAGAATGCAAGGGTGCACACCCCACACAGAAAAATGCAAACGCCAGGAGTGTGCACCACACACATTCTTTGGGTTGCACACACCACCAGAAACAGCAGTACTACCACTCATATCTACATCTTCATGATGGAGAAATGTGCTATCAGCCTTCCCCACAGACACCATACAAAGACACTATTTCTGCCCCAAAGGGATCCAAAGGGATCTTGGTCTGTACTGGCTCACTTCGTATGTGTGAATTTTCTCAGCACACACGTGAAATGAGCCAGCACAGACCAAGATTCAGGGCTTAATTTAGTTGTTGGTGGCAAGTAGAAAAAGCAAAGGCCTCTCCTCTCTCCTCTTAATCCCTACACCCGTCATTCCAGAAAGGCATTTGTCTGCCTGCTGGGAGCCCTTAACTGAGGGTACATTAGCATCCTCCTTTTTTTAACTTTGTCCAAAAATTGGGCTTTTGCTTTTAAGAAACCCTAACACAGAACATCAGCTCTACCTCTTTCTGCCCAACTCCAGGGAAGAGGGTATGGGGGAGGCAGTACAGAGAGAAAAGGAGAGTTGACATTTGACTCAAGAGATTTGTGTATAATAGTGGGACACCTTCACAGTGCCTGCTTAGAAATTCTGACCCTTTAGTATCTGACCCCATTGTCAACCCCCACCTAGCCCAATCTGTTGGGATCCTAAACTTGATGAAGGTCTTTACAAGGGGAAAAGAGGACAAGGGAAAATGTCAAGAAACAATGAGAAATTATATCATGTGGTATATTAAAACAGTAATCAACAAACTTCTTGAAGGTAGGGTATATTATTTGTTCCAACAAAAAAAAAAAAGACGAAATAGCAGTGCATGCCTGTAATCCCAAAGAGGCTGAAATGAGAAGATTGCTTGAGCCCAAGAGTTCAAGACCAGCCTGGGGCAACAGACAGAGAACCTGTTTCAAAAAAAAAAAAAAAAAAAGACAAAAACAAGAGTCCTCCCTGGAGAAAAAAAAATTTTTTTTAAACATGCCTTCACACACACATTATGATGTGAGTGTGCAAATTAGTTCTGATTTGGAAAATCACATTGGTGCCTGTAATAACTGGAGATACTCTGAGGTATCATAAAAGCAGAGGTGGGTAATCATTTTTCTAGAGTTGAGACCTCATCACACTCAGCTGTGATATGCCTCAACAGGTGAGTGAAACAGAAGATGTACAAGGGGCCCAAAATGAAGTCTTTAATCTGACCTACACTCCTTTCATCCCAGTATTTCTCTAAGGCATGTGTCATCCAGATGGGAGAGGATACTGTGTCCTTGTTAACATTAAATAGAAATGGAAAACAATTCATGCTGGCAATTACCATCTCTCTCTGTGAACAGTTTACTTCCTGTCCCTACAACTTAACCATCTCCAGGTACCACCTTTTGACTTCCATCCAGCCTCCAACTCACCTCAACAGAAAAAAGCCTCATTCAAAAGAGATGAGCCCAAAGGAAAAGAGAAAGGATTAAAGAGAAAAAAAGCCATGATTTACCTTTAAAATAATGACTCATTTTATTTTTTTCTTTTAATACGTAGTTATAAATATATTTTGTCAAAATATATGATCAATATGGTCAAAACATTTGCACGTAAAGTCATAAATAAGGTCAAGGTGAATGTTTAGGGTTTTCTTCCTTTTTTTTTTTTTTTTTTTTTAAAAATAAAAGTCCAGCTATAAGGAAGCAGTCTGTGTAGTGTGTGGGTGAGTGGATGAGAATGTGTGTGTGTATGTGTGTGGTGTGTGTGTGTGTTGTGTATATCTGTCTGTCTGTCTATCCTCAAGGACTGCCTGGTCTCAGCGGCACCCACATCCTTCTACTACCATCTCCTGATAATTTTTCAGTACCACCTTATCATACTCATCCAGGTACAGCATGGAGATGGCACTCAGTTCAGTGGGCACACAACAGGCCTTGGGGATACTGGAATTGACAGAATTGACCAGGGTCTGCACAATGGCATGGTTGGTTGAGTTGAGGTGGTCAGCCAGTGGAAAGGGGCAGTCCCCATGGCAGTAGAAGGCCTGGTAGCCTGGTGGGGCCACAATCCAGTCATTCCAGCCCACATCGCTGAAGTCCACATAGAGCGAGTGGCGCCGGCAGTTCTTATTCTTCTTCCGGGCCCGCTGTGGGTGATGCTTAGGACTACGCTTGGCCCTCCGGCGTCGGGTCAAGGCATGGCCCCGGCCATCATGGCCAAAGGTGACCAGGAGGGGCCGGAGCTGGGCCCAATTCCCACTCCCTTGAGGTAACGATCGGCTAATCCTGACATGCTGGCCCTGGTGGGTCCGAGTCTGATGGAGGTGAGTCACCTCAATGGCCAGCCCATAGTTTGGCTGCTTCTCCCGGGTCCAGCGAAGGACCGCAGGGCTCACATCAAAAGTTTCCCACCGTGTCACATTGTGGTGGACCAGTCTCGTGTCCAGTAGTCGTGTGATGAGGTGCCCAGGCACCACTTCTGCTGGGGGCTTCATAACCTCATAAATGTTTATACGGTGGAAGCCCCGTTCCCAATCAGGGCCCTGGTCCACCTGCTCCCGGAAGAGCCGAAGCTCTGCAGAGGAGATCACCTCGTTCTCTGGGATGCTGCTGAGGTTAAAGAGGAAACGAAAAGCAGAGTTTTCACTGGTCCCTGGGATGTTCTCCAGATGTTCTAGGCACAGTTAGGAAGGAAGGGGAAAAGAAAAAGCACATGAACTTTTTTCAAAGATGGAAGAGTCAAGAGAGAGCTCAGGGTTGGGCGATGAATGGTGAATTCTGCTTATGCAGGGGAAACCTACTGGGGGGAAATAAGCATACCCCTTAATTTGAAGGAGCAGATAAGTGGGGCAGCTAGCAAACCAGCAAAATGTAGCTAGCACTTCTCAAGCACCAAAGACAGAAACTACCTCCCAGCCTCCTTGATATGTCTAATAATTTCCATGTGTCAACTCCTCTAGGGCACCACCATCAGACTCCTCTTTTAAAACCCCCCCTTAGTTTTGTGTCCACAGTTTTCTTTACAAGTGGTTGTAAAGAAAAAGAGGGGCCAACGAGCACAGGCAGGAGGAAACATGCACACAACCACCTTCTCCCTCTTCCACTATTGAGTATGTTACTAAACATTTCCCCAGCGATCTTGGAAACACAGAGCATGCCTTGTTGATCATGTTACAGAGAGGAAAATAAATTCCAACACAGTAATGATGCTGGTGGATTAATAACTCAGATTTACTTTGGAAAAGAAACATCCGCTAGGAAACATTCAGATCGGATTACAAGGCCCCTATTGAATAAACCCGACAAACACACAGCTGTAATATTAAATTCAGTAGGTGCTTTGAAAAAAACGGGCAGAAAACCCAGCAGAAAAGGCTTTGATATAGCAAAAACACACCGCTGGGGCTAGCCCACGTCTGAGTGCTGTCATTCCCCTTCCCCTGAACACCTCCCCCTCTGTCTCCAAAAAATAAGTTCGGTGGCAGCTCTGCAAATTCTTGGAGGTAAGGAGCTCTGTTCCTCAGCCTCCTGGATTGGGGCTTTGATGTAACCCGAACTCTTCTTCCCCAGGGCTTTCACTGCCCCTCTAGCCAGTCTCACTAGCCCTCCCCCACGCAGACTAGCGGAAGAGACTGACCTTCGTGGTGGAAGCTCCTCACGGTGTTAGCCCGGCTGGCTGGGCGCTCAGGATACTCCAGACCAGTGCTGTGGATCTGCTCTTCCTCCTCCTCCCCAGACTGAAGCCGGTAAAGATCCCGCATGTAATCCGGAATGACGGCACTCTTGCTAGGCTGCGGGCGGCGGCGCAGCCCGAACATCTGCAGAAGTGTCGCCTCGAAGTCCCGCAGGAGCTCATGGCTCTGCCCTGAGCGGCGTCCTCCCGCGTGGCCCTGAATCTCGGCGACTTTTTTCTTCCCCGTCTCAGGTATCAAACTAGCATGGCTCGCGCCTCCTAGCAGGACTTGGCATAATAAAACGACCATCAGCATTCGGTTACCAGGAATCATGGTGTCTCTGGGGAGGGGGAGGGGAGTGGAAGGTTAGAGAATAAATAAACACCAATAAATAGGGAGAAATCGATGTGTCTGCATATGCATTTAGGGCTAGAAATGGAGGGGCAAGATAGAAAGCAGGTCAGAAAGATCAAGTTTGTGTCTTCTCCCTCACACCACCCCCCCACCCACCAGCTGCAGCCATGCACGGCCTGAAAGTAAGAATTGCCCTGTAATTACTTGGTCTAACTTGTTTACAGTCAAATAACCCCAAATCAGATAGCCTCCATCCTGTTAATCTTTTTTTGTCCTAACTGCTATCTGAGCCATGATCTCAGCGTGGCTTCTTCAAGGATAAACAGTTAACATTGAGGGGGTAAAAAGGGGTGGGGGGGGAGAATTAGAATGACATTGCTCTCCACTTTAGACCTTCAGCTTCCCTCCCTTTTCCTCCACCCTCAGAGCCCAACTTTCACAACTTCCAGTTGGTTCAGAGCCAGAGGGAGGGAAAGTGAGAGGCAGAGGCTGGGCGGAAGACAGAGGGCGACAGGATCCAGAAGCCGAGAAGGTGGTCTAGGAGCTAACCGAGTGGCTTGAGGGCTTATTGTATTGTGGCCGATGACTTTGAAATACTCAGCCAAAAGTGCCTGATCGTGCCCGCTCACCCCCAGGAGAAACCTCTGTGAGTTTTGACAAGACAGTGGGAATGCGCCACTGAGACACTGGGTGCTCCCCCAGGCAAGTAGGGTAGGGGAAGGGAGTGGTTAGCCCTCAAGGTACAACCCCGGGCTTTCATCTCTTTAGCTCCCTCGCGCTCCCCTTTCTTGCATCGCTGAAAGGGCGAGTGCCCGCCAGCAGCACTTTAAAAGGAACCAGTACGCTTCGAGCGCCCCGGCTGCAGGGCCAAGAAGGGAGCGACAGTGCTGCCAGGGAGCAGAGTGTGGACATTGCAAGGGAGGTCCGACGGAAGGGACAGCCGGCGAGCAGGGGTGGTGAGGGCAGAGTGAATTCCCGGGAGGGGGAAGGAAGAGGTGTCTACTCACTGACAGAAAACAAGGCATATAATAACAGTCCATGATTCTTGACAGCCAATCTTGAACAAACTTGCTGGAAAGGCTCAGGGAAGCTGCAGCAGTGCGTTGCTCGGGATGGCACTACAGAATGGCTCCTAAAAGGAATATTTGAATATAATGAGACTCCGGCGCAGACAGACTCTGTTTTTCTTCCAGCCCCTCGGAGTCACGTGAGCGCCGAGGCCCCTCCCGCGGCGGGCGGCGAAAGGGCCTGCGCGCCCTCCCCTCCTCCACAGCCCCCCGCCCCTCGCGGGCCCGCCCCCCTCCAGGCGAGGCCAACCTCCGCGCCCGCCGCCCGAGCCTCTGCGGTCCGGGAGGAGCTCCCGGCGGCGCTCGGCAGAGCCCTCGGCCGGTGCCTCGCGGCCGCCGCGCTCCCCGGACCAAGGGCGCAGCGCGCGGAGAACCTGGTTCTCGGCGCGGTGCGTTGGACTGGGCCCCCACGCCAGGCCACCTGAAGCCAGAGGATTTGGGGCGCACTGAAGGGACTGTGTCTTGCAGCTCGAACCCTGCTTAAGTGGGGGCCGGGAGGGAGGTCGGGAAAGTCTCACCCGCCCAAAGCCTCACCACCGAGAGGCACTTAAAAAGGAAAGCGCCGAGGGACCCTGCACACGCGCGTATATACACACACACAAGCAAACACGAGCTCCCCGCCACTTCCTCCCCAGGGTCTCCACAAGGCCAAATATTGCTCCTAATGACAGCCAGTCACCCCTTGGCGAACGCCTGCTAAGACTCCGAAGAGCGGGGCCACCGATCTAGCTCCCGGCTGAAAGCTGCCGACCTTGTCACGCACGGGGCCGGGAATGGGCGGGGGGCGTTAAAGGATGATCGCTGTGGGAAAGTGAGAGGGAGCGGTTGCTAATCATTGCTCCGGGTCCATTACGGAGAATCCCCAAACCAAGTCGGCCGCTGCGTGGCCCCTCTCCCCCGGCAAAGCAGACCCCGAAGAAGCCATTCCAGGCGGAGGGACAGACGCCGGGGCTCGCAGCTCCGGGCAGATTCAGAGAGAGGCGTCGCTGCAGAAAGGACGCATCACAGTTTTCAGATCTTAATGTCGCCGAGGTTTTACAACTCCCGACCCGGCGCAGAAAGGAAATCCCACCATGTTCCCGGGAGTCGAGAAAACTGTGAACAGCTTTCGGCCTGCGCTCGACCTCTGCGTCTGCGTCTCTCTCGCCTCGGCTTGGCTTATTTTTTAAACCACCACACTCCTTCCCCCGCCACTTCCTTCCCCCACCCCCTTCCTCCGTTGCACCAGCAGCAGAGTCGCAGCAAATACTCCTTCAAGAATTTTACCTACCTACAGCTCAAGCGATTACTAGGATGTACTGACTAATTGAAGATGCTGCGGCGCGCGTGGGTCGCTCAGAGCAAGGGCCTCTTCGAAAACCCGACTCGTCGCAACTCAGCGTTCGCAGGGCCGGGCGTGCCAGGTCGCCCCCGGGACCCTGGCCCCATGACTCCTGCCCCAAAGCCCACTCCACCCGATCTCCCTTTCCTGAGGCTGTTCCTGGTTGCCGCTTTGGTCGCTCTGGAGCTCAAGGGCTCGGGTTGCCTGCCGCCCCACTCTCCACGCAAAAACTTGGTTTTCTTCTTAGGGGCACTTGCAGGTAGACTTGGAGGAAGAAGAGCAAAGGATCGAGCAGCCAGCCCTCCCTCCCGACGGTGGATGCCCGGCGTCGACCGACACCTCAGGTCCGGGTGCGGAGGCCGCGGGCGCCCCTGCGCGACCGTCCGTGCCCCGCAAGAGCCGCGCGGCTTTCGCCTTTGCTGGTCCCGCGCCACCGCTGGGGCGGACTGCGAAAGGGTTGGGAAGAGCAAAGGGTTTTTTTGTTTTGTTTGAGACGCAGAAGCCCTTTAAAAAGCCCAGCGAGGACAGATCCAGAAGTAGAGAAAGGAGACGGAGGCAAGCTGGTACCTGCGAGGCAGAGGGACAGTGGAAGGGGCGGGCGCCCGGGATCCCCGGAAAACCCTCGGCCCCAAGGAATCTCCTGGGGCGGGAGCGCGCGGTTCTAAAACCGAGAGGATAGGGAGGGGAAGGGGGAGTTGCCTTTCAATTTCGGACTCACCAGGATTCATCTCTCATCACATTTTTCTTCTCAAATTTTTAAATCGAAAAGATAAAAGCCAAAAGAACTTTCATCCCCAGAATTTTTCTTGGGGGAAAGGAATGCAACTCGGGGTGGTTGTCCTTCACTTCCCTACCCGAATCTTCTCCTAATGCCGAAATGTGTTTACAGGTAGCCTCAGTTTACCAACTATGTATCTTTTGGGGTGTTTACGTCTCACAAAGCCTTCAACTCATAAACCGCGATCCTTGAAAACCATCCTCCAAAGAAGTGCTTAGGAGGCGTCTGAGGCTCCCGGACCAACTCCCGTTGGAAAAAGCCTGCAGGGACCCGGGAATCACGGGATCCTTTCCCGTCGGTTCCGGGCCGGGAGGGCCAGGAAGAGCCGCGCGTCTGCCTTTCGTCCCGCCAGGAACTCCCCATAGGACACGACACCGCAGGAACGCGCGTCCTGGGAGCCCCTGGGATCCTGGCGGTCGTCTCTACGGACCCTACATCATGAAATGATAGAGGGGAGGCTCCTTGGGTTCCGCAAGTCGACGAAAATAGCTCGTGGAGAAGGCGCCTCCTGCAACTGCAGTTCGCAAGCTCTCGGGGCGCCCCGCCAGCTGGGGGCCAGATTGGGTGACACTCCCCTCGACGCAGCCTCCGGAGCGGCGCGCACTCTCCAGAGGCCAGCAAGACTGCGCTCTCTACCGCAGAACCAGCTCCAGCTAGGTGTTCTCTCCCCATCTCGCCGTCGCTCTGCCCCCCTCACTCTCTCCGGACCTCAGAGCCGGCTCTTTCCTTCCTCCTCCCGCCCTTTCCGTCCGGGGATCGCAACCTCCAGCCCGTGGGCAACGCGTTCAGCCCAAGACCCCACAGTTTTTCCCAACGACCCCCTACCGAGGGCTTCTCTTGCTTCTGTTCTCCTGCCCCGCACTTCCTAAAGGTGAGAATCTCCCAGGGACTGCTGGACAGAGAAGGCCTGGGCAGGGGCAGCAGCCGGTATTTAAAGGTCTTTCAGCGCCAGCATCCCCACCTCCAGTACCACTATAGGAAAATAATTAGGCCACCTTTTGCCTCGGTCACAGCCTGAGTCCCCAGCTTATTCCCCCCAAGGAGGCTCCTAGACCCCCTCTGCCTGTCTCCCCAGGTAGCCTTGCTCACCATAGGTCCCTGCAGTAGCGGGCTCGCCAGCAGCAGCTCCTGGGGACCTCTGAACGGTTGTAGTGAACCTGGGCGAGGGCCGGGGACTGGGGCGCTGCAGGCTCGAGACAGCTTGGACGGGAATCCCATCGGGGAGACAGGCTAGATACTCAGCCCGAGCAGCAGCGGCGTCTCAGGCTCGCGTCCCTCGGCTCGGATGCCACACTCACCTAGCTTCCGGGCCGGGCTCCGCGCTCCTTCCCTCCCTCTCTCCTCCTCTGCCTTCTCGCATCTTCCTTCCTCCTCTTTCCCTCCCTCGCTTTCTTTCTTTCCTTCCTCCTCCTCTTCCCCAGCGGCCCCTCCCTTCTTCCCTCCTCCCTCTCTCGCCTCCCTTTCTGGGGATGGGAGCCCCGCCCACATCCTCCCCTCCAGCCTCCCGACCTCGCCTAGCAGGCCCGGGTCCCGGAAGCCCAGGCAGCGCCCGAGTCCGCAGCTGCCGTCCGAGCTGGGACGCCGATGCCTCCAGCTCTGGGAAGCGGCTGGGGCTCACCTGGGGACCACGTGCAGAGGTACTAGAAAGCATGCACCGACTAGTCGCTGTACCTTCCAAAAATACCCATGGGAGTCTGGGCTTCCCTGAGTTTAGTGTAACTGCTGCCCAAACTGATGATTAAAACACTGAGTAATCACCATTTACCCTGAGTAATTAGAGATAATGAAACACCTCTAAAATCAGGTTATGGAGAAAGGAGCTGTTGGATCGGTTTAAAAGGTGGCCTTCCATAAACTGTTAAAGGATTTCCAAACGTTGAGAAACAGGCTGTGTGCAGAACTGTGTGCCAGTGAGAGATACCTCTTGGGCTGTTAAAAGGTGAATTTCCTTCCAAAACATTCTTAAAGTGCATTTTGTGGAACGCCTTGGTGATGACCCTGAGGTAGACCCCAGTAAACGAGCTCACTTCCCTCCTCCCCACAAGGCCAAAAGCCAGAGGTGGCCTGCAGACAGGCTGAGGCCACGTTTTTACAGTTAGAAAAATCTGTTTCTAGCTCAGAAGCCGTCTTAAGAACCGACACAGCAGTTATTTTTGTTGGTGGTGTTATGGTTGATGTTGATTTTTTTGTTCATTTTTGGTGTACCTAAGAATCCTGACACTCCAGGAGTATCAGGTGGTTATCCAAGGAGATAACCACAGAAGCAATAACCTTTTAGGCCACAGCAAGACAAGAAAAGATGCCCCTTGGTCTGTTTTCAAAGAAGGGAGATGAGGAATTGGCCCTTTTATATAAAAACATTTTAGTAATCATATTAGCAGGGAGGTGGAATATGGTGGCTTTTAAACCTTCCCCAACAGGAACTAATTTCACACACTGCCTCGGATGGAGCTGTGAGGGAGCTATCAGCCTCATCTCTCTGTTTTACAAACAAGGAAAGGAAGGACTACCAGGTTAAAGGGACTTGCCCAGATCTCTGAAGTAAATCACAGCCTCTACTCCAGAGCTAATGCTTCAGGGAGGGGTTGAGGCTCACAGCCTGAGCTCCAGGTAGCCAGGGGAGTGCTGGAAGACTGAGCATTTCCTGTCCTGGATTTCTTTCCCTGGGACAGACATGACACTTTACTGTCTCCGCAAAGCATTTAGGTCTTTACTTAAACAGATATTGGCCCCGGGTGTCGCATCTATAAAAACTTTACATTTATACACCTTCAATATTTAAAAAACAAGAACTGCTTCCTGTGTGGAACACAGATTACAAAGGGTGTGAAATACCTGAGATCAGAAAAGCAACTGTCAGAGCAAGGCCAAGACATCCTGCCATCTTTTCCTGGCCTAGGTCTTTTGGCCTAATAATGCACCAAACAACAGAAACAAGCTGTACGGCTTTGGGCAAGTCTTTTCATTCCTGTGAGTGTCAGTTTTCTCATCCGCAGAATGAAAGGATTGGGCCAGATCATCTGCATGCTCCCTTTATATTTGAAAATGATTTGATTATTTAATTGTAATTTTAGCCAACATATATCTTCTTTCATTTTAAATCACTCCTGAGTTGACTTTCTCTAAGAACTTCTGATTAAAATAGGACAGGGAAGTAACACCACCCCAAAAGGATGACAAAATATACCTCCAGCTTCCAAATACTCAAAATCACAATTAAATATTAAAAATAATAACAGAAAATTAAAACTCCATTAAATAGTTACCTCATGTTCCTCCTGCAGCACCAGGCATTGTGCTCCTTTAGCACAGTACCTGAAGTAAGGACAGATTAAATGCTCACTAAACCCCTAAATCAATCACTATTGTTTTAATCATTAACAAAATGTGTTTCTTAATATTTAAACTCAGAAACAGCAGTGATATGCTGTACTTAAAGGCAGGACTTTATTTTATTTTAAAGAACAAATGTGATTTTGGGTTTTTTTTTAATTCCAAAGGTTTCTGAATGACAGTTTTTGTCTCATTTTGCTGCAGCCCAGACAATAAAGTGGCCACTGATTGGCCCATCCATGAGTCTGTGACACTCACAGTCCAGGAGTTTCCAATTAAGCTACCCAGCATACCTTGTTTAGACCCCTGATATGAATCTTCAGATATATGATGAGAGAACTCAGCTTTAGTTCTCTTGGGACAGCTTTATTTCTCTCCTCATATTTGAGATGGGTGCAAGCCATCTGTTATCAACTGCTTTTACCCACTCTTCCTCTTTTCCCCCTTACTCGTGCCAAAGAACTAATTACTTGTTGGTTAGAGAGCTAAATCAACCACAGCCTAGTGATCAGAGTTGGTGAGAAGAATCAGTTTAGTTATTTTCCCTATCTCAAACTTACCTGTGAATTTTCATGTTTTTATAGAACATGGTAGATAGACCAAATAAAATTGTACCCTTAAAGCATATTGATGAAGAGGAGAAACCCACCATAATTCAGGAGCAACTATTGCTCCTATGCTGCTACTGCTGAATGGAGGGCATTCCTTTGTTGGATTTTTCCTGGAGAACATCAAGAAAGAGTGGCGGTCAATAGCCTGTCGGCGAGCCCTTGGGACAGCCTTTTTCAAAGTATGTTCTCAGGACTATAAGCCTCAGAGTAGGGTGGGGGTGCAGATAAAATGCAGATTTCCTGGCCCTGCCCCAGATCTGGACCCAGAAATCTGTGTATTTCACAAGGTTCTCTGGTCATTCTGAGCACACTAAAGCTTGAGAGCTACTGTGGATTTTTTTTTTTTTTTTTTTTTTTTTTTTTTGAGATGAAGTTTGGCTCTTATTGCCCAGGCTGGAGTGCAATAGCATAATCTCAACTCACCACAACCTCCACCTCCCAGGTTCAAGCGATTCTCCTGCCTCAGCCTCCCGAGTAGCTGGGATTACAGGCATGTGCCACCACGCCCGGCTAATATTTTGTATTTTTACTAGAGACAGGGTTTCTACATGTTGGTCAGGCTGGTCTCGAAATCCTGACCTCAGGTGATCCACCCACCTCGGCCTCCCAAAGTGCTGGGATTACAGGCGTGAGCCACGGTGCCCAGCCCCTGAGAGCTACTGTTTTAAAAGCTATTTTGCTTCCATTTTCTATGCTGATAAGTACCATTAAAAGGCTGGTACCAAGACATCATTAAATAGGCAAGGAATATGCTTGGCTTGAGTTTTATAAACTGTTAAATGTGGCAATTATAGTATCACTATGCCCTGAACACACCAAATAGGTCTATGCAAGTGAAAAGATAATCCTATGGATACAATAGCCTTTAATTCCCCATCCCCAGTTAAGAACCACATTAGGTCTTCAAACCTTCTTTGCCAATTAGGTGTCTGGTGAAGCTATGGAAGGAATTCCCAGAGTCATTGCTAAGTTTTGAGAGGCAATAAGATAGATCAATTGGAATTGGAATTTGAATTAGAAGTGATCTCTGAAATTGGCCAGAAATATTAGTTTTCCTCTTAATATTTATCATATGTTATATATTTGCCCTATAGATCTCTAGCCCTTACAACAACCCTTATAAAATCCCTGTCCTACAGATGAGAATCTGAAGTTTAGAGAGGTTATGTAAGTTGCTCAAGGTCACAAAGCTAGAAGGTGGTGAACCCCAAGTCCAAACCATGTCAGTCTCTCCTCTCCCTGGACCTGCAGGTGGGGGAGCAAGTGAGGGGTATTGTGGATAGATCCCTGAAGCTTATCCTGGAAGCTTCCCCCAGGCCAAGGCACCAGCTGCTGCTCCATCCTGGCAGCATGCTATTACCAGGAATTTCAGGATATCTTCCCAAGTTCTTAGATAACAAAACAAAATCAAGACCTAGAAGTTTGTTTCTTCCCGACATTCCTATATAAGCCCACCTTAGAGCAAGACTTTTATGTGACCTTTCCTGAGAAAAAGGTTATGATCTTGAGAAAGGAGCTAATTATCTCTGCTGGGTCCAAGTCTCCTCATTGTAAAATGTGGAGCTTGAACAGGGTCCTCACAGGTCTTTCTCAGGCCCCAGAATACAGAGACAATATAACCTGGTCGTTAAAATCACAGTCAAATTTCTTAATCTCCAGTGTCCACTCATTATGTTTTGTCTATATAGATCTGACCCATGAACATAGCTCTGCCAAGATAACTACTCACTGTCAAAATCATACCTACTCTGAGCAATTGGTTTTTACTAATAGTCTGAGACTGAATGACATGTCCAAAAAGCATTTTCCGTCTGGGTTTTCGGATTCCTAACACCTCTAACTTTTAATAATTTTTTTCCCTGTCCCTCAGGCTAAAACATAAACTCATTTTCTTTCTTTCTGGTCTAAAGATGAACTTTTAACCAAATTGCACAAGTTGTTCCTTCTCTAAACATTTAATATTGTTGCCAACCTTTGATATGCCTCACTCAAACTAAATAATACTGGATGCTGATATTTTCTCGTGACAAAAAGAAAATCTAATACTATTTCGTTTCCCTATGTTTTAAATTACTGCCTTGCTACTTTCTGGAATATGGTCCTTTCTAGAAAAACCCTTCAATATTAACATCCAAGCCGGGCGTGGTGGCTCACGCCTGTAATCCCAGCACTTTGGGAGGCCGAGGCCAGTGGATCCCGAGGTCAGGAGATCGAGACCATCCTGGCTAATACGGTGAAACCCCGTCTCTATTAAAAATACAAAAACTTAGCCGGGTGTGGTGGCGGGCACCTGTAGTTCCAGCTACTCAGGAGGCTGAGGCAGGATAATGGCGTGAACCCAGGAGGCAGAGCTTGCAGTGAGCTGAGATGGCCCCACTGCACTCCAGCCTGGGCAATCGAGTGAGACTCTGTCTCAAAAACAAACAAACAAACAAGCAAGAAAGCAAGCAAACAAACAAACAAAAAATCCAAAATAGACAGAGACTT